TCCGATTCCCATCCACTAGGTATTTGTTGCATCCTGACTTTCCCTTTAGGAGAGGAATTGCACTTACCCCACCTGCATGCTTCTTACACCTTACACCACTTTGTTGTTATGAATGTTTAGTGCATACTTTATGCTTCACTTTAGTATCTTGGCATTTTCATTTGCAGCAAGAGCTTTTCCTACTGAGCCTCCTTACCAGGCTCAGTTGGGAGGAAGAAGGTAGTGCTCTTTGAGGCAGCTGAGAAGCAAAACCTGAGTTGCCAGTAGATGTGGAGCAAGGAGAGAGTATTAGGTGCTGGGGGACCCTTGAATAGAAAGGAAGGTAGAGATAGGGTCAGAGATAACAGGAGAAGCAGCAGTGTGCTCCCTAATCGCTGTGAGAAGGTCACAAAGGAATGGAGATGGGCCCACGACACATTTGAAGACCTGTGGAAGAAAAGACGCGTAATACAAGAAAAGACGCGTAATACGTAGGACATGATGATCTGTCTCTTAGAGAGAGGGACCCGTGGGCAGCAGCAGGACTGACCAGCCTGTGCACCTGAGAAGGTGTTTCCCTGGCGTGGCAGAAGCACGTGAACATCTGTAGGCAGAAGGAGAGAGCGATCTAAGGAAGATGTTTTGAGCAATGACAGTAAAGAGGGCAGAGAAAGGCAGATCCTCAACACTTTTTCACTCATTCAGAATGCAGATGAGAAGAAAAAAACAGAGCCTGAGAATGGTGGTGAGATCCTGGGCTGACGAAGAGACCATAGGGTGCATTTGGCACCAGCAACATCCAGAGCTGAACAGGGGCAGCTCCTGCTGCAGTGGTAACGTAGGTTCCAGCTTTCACCGTGAGGGAGACTGGATTTTTTAAGGTTAGGAAGCTTGTTTATTTGTAGCTGAGTTTGATAGCCGTGCGTGGCGGTGCGCTGACTGTCCAAACTTACCTGAGATCGTCCAGTTAGAGGCAGCAACCGCGCAAGCTTCTCGGTTGAGCCTGAAGTCCAGCTGAGTCTGAGTGCATTGCCATGGCACAACTCCTGCCACTGACAGAAGCGGCAGTTAATATTGGGATACAGGCAACGGCCCAGCAAAAAAGAGCACTGCATCATTTCAGGCACTCTGTAGAAGTCTTCAGGTTCGGATGCATCCCCTTCTCTGGGGGATTTAAAGAAAAAGGTGGTTTCACCTCTAGGAAACACCCAGTGCCAATAAAATGGCCTCTCTGTCATTGTCCTAGAAAGGAGATCAGAGGAGATAAGACCAGACTGGAATGCGATAGCATCAGCTAAACAAATGGTGCTGGGAATTAGCAATTAGGAAAACAAGCACAGCTGAACTCAGTAGGTGTGGAAGTTACTGGGCCTGTCGGGCTGGTGGCTGCTCAGTGAGCTGTGGAGAAACACACCCAGGAGAAAGCCCGGTCTGCCCCACCGGACCGCAGCCTGCTCTCAGAGCTCGGCTTTGCCGCTGCTGCGACCTTCATCTGGAAGGTAGCAGGTAACTCTGTGCGTGCTTCATAGGTCTGGCTGAGCCCAGCGCCTGCAGAGCCTTCGCTGGAAAAGGACAGGACTTCCCCGAGCCGGTCTGCATGTGGAAACGACTTCCTCCTGCATTGAAAATGGGCCAGAAGGTCTCACACGAGGACAACCAGGAGAAAAAGGCTGAGACTCTACTCATCTGTGAAGTCTTCAGCCAAGGTGTGGTCCATGCATCTCAAAGGCTGAAGGACTATCTTGGTTTCGTGGATCCTCAGAGCAAATTCCAGCCAGCCACAAACACGCTGAGTGAGATCTTTTTGGTCAACTTCATCAGCTTCTGCATGGAAAAGGGAGTGGAGGAACGTATCACAACCAGCAAAATGACCAAGCAGCAGTCCTTCCTGTTCGGGGTGGACTGGATCTGGACTCTGTCTGGAGCTGACAAGGAAATCAAACTTCAGATCGCTGTGCAGGCTTTACAGCCAGCCGAGCTTTTCAATCGCGAAGGGGGCCCCGCCGAGGCGGTGGAGGACTGCTGCCGGGAAGCCGTGCTGGCAGACGAGCGCTTCCAAAACAGGAGCAGGTTTGCGAAGCTGGCGGAGTTCTGCCGCCTGGTGGGACAGGACTGCCTGGGCTTGTTCATCATGTTTGGTGTGCCAGGGAAGCCCAGGGACATCCGAGGAGTCATGGTAGACAGCATTGCCAAGGAGGAGCAAAAAAGCCGCCTGTTGGGCAGGAATGCGTTACAGCAATTTGACACCAGTACTGACAGATTCCTGCCCGCAAAAGACATGTTGGAAAGCTGCCTTGGCGCAAAAAATGGACTGAAGGAGGTGGGCAATGTGTACATAAGCTTTCTGTAAACTGCTGGTTAACAGCAGTGGCTCTGCATGCCAGCACCAGAGCTCAGCTCTGCCTCTCTTCCTTCTCGAACGCCGTTCCCTCCTCACCCTTATTTCCCAGCCGCTCCTCCACCCATTGCATTCCCCTAGCTCCTGCAGGAGCCAGGCTAAGTCTCTCCAGGTTTTAAACAACAGGACGTACCTGCCAGAAAAATGTGTTTATAGAAGGCATGCCATTTTTCCAGAACATTTTGTTCACCAGACGTTGAGTCTTGGCTGGAGCCGATGAAAGCCCTGAACCTTCGGGAGGTCGCGTTAGACTTGACTCATAGCCTTTCTTTACTGTACGGCGGATTTTTTTCTCTAATAGACAGTTGAGGCTGTAATAAAATGTACTGGTGCTGGTCAGAAGATTTGCACTGAGCATGAAGGACAATACCAGGGCTTCAAAAGGGGGGTTTGGAGGCATGAGCTGGTTCACAACTAAGAGGAAAGGCCCTTCCCCACGACAGAAAGGGGCTCCATGGAAGACCTGTTAGTTACCTGCCTATTAAAAGTAGAGCGGTGCCAGGCTATGGAGGGCCTTGGAGCTGTGACCAAAATACAGGAGCCAGATTGTTCCCATCTGCAAAGCCTGGTCTTGCTGACTGGTCGCATCAGGCCATGGGGCAGTAAACAGCAGTGGCAGGAGTTAAAGAGAAACTTGGGGAAATCAACCAAGAGGGCCCAAAACCTGGCCCTGGAGAAGTTTGGTGGGACCTTTTGTTTTTCAGGGCAGCAGAGGCAGCGCCTGACCACCCATGGCAGAGAGCAAAGGCTGGAGGAGGCAAAATTATTTCACTTCGACTGTGTTCTCAGTAGCTTAAGTAGCTGATTGCATTTAGGGACTGATTTATTCCATTTCCCTCAGCTTTTAGTGATCAAAGTGGGACTTCTGGGTTGTGCAATTGCAATGACTTTCAGCCCCTGTTACCCAGTGAAGGAGGACCTGATTGGTTTTCAAACCAGTAAACTCACTCTGTTTATAGCCAGCTGAATAGTTTTGTTGGTGAAAAATTCCTCTGCCTGTAGTTTTCTTATAATTTTATTTGTTTCATTTTAACAGCAGAAAAATAATTCATATTTTACTACGTGAGCTATAAGAATGGGGCAGCTGTGACAGCTGAGAAATAAAGGCTGTTATTTACCCAGCCGTTTAAAAAAAGGGGGAGGGCGGGGGCATAAAGAAGCTGCAGCATCAGTGTCAGATGTTTTCGCAGCTTTCCATAGTGGAGGCTGAAAGGTGGAACTGAAATAAAAACAAATGCACGGGGAACTGTGGCATTGTTGCTGAGTCAGAAACGTGGCTGGGTATGGGGAAGGGAGGCCCTTTCGTTAGGGAATAGTTCGTTGAGCTGCAGTTGTTTTTAAAGAGCTGGCATCGATGTATTTTTTTGTGTGTGTAGCAGGGGTTAGGTGGGACAGAGGGGATAGTTCTGGTGTTTTACCTAGAAAGCAGGCATAGCTATGGGGATGTGCAGCAAGGGATGACTATGCTCATTCAGGAGGGGTGGGTTGGGTGGGTTTTTTTGCCTGTTTAAAGTAACAGCGTAACCAATCCTGCAGTTGGATTGATTGGTTTATAAAAGGCCAGCAGAAAAGCTGTAATTTTGCATTAAATTGGTGTCTTCCTTATAACTAGTGCATGTCTCTCAAGCGACTCAGTTCAATAGGAATGCTGCCTCTGAAAACCAGTCAGGCTTTTTTGGATGTTTTGCATGCTTTTTCGGCAATGGAAAGGGAAGGGAAAAATGAAAATGCTTGACTACATGGAGTTTTGGCTATGGAAGTTACGCATTGGGACAGTTGTCCATTTGGTTCATCTCCGAAGCAGCTCTGGTACCTCAGAGCTGTCACGCAGGCTTGGCCTGTATGCGGGGAGCCAGGGTACAGCACCCCAGCTGTGCCACGCTTTTCATCTGGTTGCCTTGAGGGTTTTAGCTCAGGAGCCCAGGCCCTCAGCAAGGGGGGGAACTGGCCAAGACACTGTACGATGGGTAATGATGGTGAAGCTGCAAAACAAAGTATTTAATGATGGAAATGTGACTGTGTTCATTTATTCAGCCAAGCTGGAGTCTCAGGTGACTCACAGCCATACCACAAGCTTCTGTAACTGCACATACTGATTTACCAGGTAAGGTGCCGACCTCAGACAGCTTCAGCCCATAGTAATTTGTATAATAAGGTTAGGAAAAGCAAAGTGAAGGGGTTGGGTTGGTGGTTGTGGGTTTGGTTTTCTTCCCTTTAGCCATCATTTGATAATATATAACTTAGTATAATGTATAGTTTACACTGCAGCTGAGCTCAAGAGCTCACAGAAACATAGCTCAATGAAGAAAGGCTGGCAGGAAGAGGGAACTTGCAGCACTGCTGCTGTTGGCTGGTTAGCTTAGCAAGGTAGGCCCTCATAACAAGAAAAAAGGGCAGAACACCTCACCCCACCCTTTTCAAAGAAGCTTTAATTCAAGAAGCATGATTTGTGTATCACAGGATACAGCTATCCGCCCTACTTGGGTCCACAAGGAGCTTCTGTCTCAAGCAGCGATGACCCAGGCCCTTGGTGCTGGTGCTTTATTACCCCAGGAGGGTGCCCGGCTTCACCCCCCCCCACCCCCTTCAGCTCCCCTGGTGCTGAAGCAGCGACATGGGCTGCATATCCCAAGCTGTGTGCTACACAGACACTGCCTGGCAGAGACCTTTGCCTACAGCTGCCCTACCCCTCAGTGCCCCCAGGACCCAGCTCCCACCCTTCCTCCCTGAGTGATCCATCACCAATGCACCCCCCGCTCCCTTTCTCGTCCATCTCCCACACCCTGGGAAGACAAAACTTCCCACTCCCTGCTCTACAGACCTGTCCCTTCTGGTGCTGCAAGGGCTCTCATTTCTCCAGCGAGCTCAGCACAGGATGCTGCTTGATAGCATCCACCAGAAGCCAACAGTTGCAACAGCGATGATTTGGTGAGAAGCT